AAGGAGGGAGCTTTCTTACCTGGCGCCCTCACGGAAAGGCGGCTCTGATCCTCGTTCCAAGAGATGCACGCAGGAAAAGATCCGCTTTCCTCGCAACCCCGCCGGCTAAGCTCCCTTCCTTCCCGGGCACACACGTGGATCCAGCTCCCTGAACCAACCCAGCCAAAACTTTCCAGAGCCTAAGCTGGAAACGCTTATAGCTCCTCCCCTCTCCGTCCAGCTCCTCCCATTCTCTAAAGGGCGGGGAGCACCGCCCACTCGGGGGTCCCCATGGCTGCCGCTTCCTCCCCCCTCCCGGGATGGGATGGTCAGCTGGGCAGCGAGTCCATTGTTTCTTTGCCCCAGGCAATCAGAGAAACAGAGGAGGGAGGGAGGGAACGACGCCCAGGGATGGGAGAAGGGAAGGGGGAGCAGCAAACTTAGGGGGAATCGGCAGGGAGTAGGCAGGAAAAGGCGGCTGTGTTATTCACTGATCTTAACAGGGCAGTCCTCAACTGACAACACATCTCCTACAATGACCAACATTCATGATTGTGCCATAATAACAAATCATCAATGGCTGCCTTGCAAGTAGTCCTCGACTTAACGACCATTCATATAGTGGCCCTTCAAAGCTACAAAATGCTAGTACAGTACAGGTAGTCCTCGCCTTACCACAATTCATATAGTGACCGTTTGAAGTTTCAACAGCACTGAAAAAAAAGTAAGTTATGACACTTTTTCACACTTAACGACCGTTGCAGCATCCCCATGGTCACGTGATCAAAATTGAGGGACTTGGGAACTGAATCGCATTTGACCGTTGTAAGGTCCAGGGGTCACGTGATCAGCTCTTGCGACCAAGCAAAATCAATGGGAAAAACCAGATTCACTAAACAACCCTCTTATTAATTCAACAACGGCAGGGATTTGCTTAACAGGGGCAAGAAAGGTCACAAAATGGAGCAAAATTCACTTTTTCAAACATTTCACTTAACAACGAAAGTTGGGGGCTCACTTGCGGTCATAAGTGAAGGACTACCTGGAGAAGATATTTGCCTCCTACTTATACAGCTCCAAGCCTAACAGAGCATGCTTGAAGTCTGCAGAGAGAAGGTTCCTGGCGTATTCCCCAATTTCTCCTCAAGAATTGCTCTTGCCATCTGCTTGAAAGGAGGAAAGAGATCCTTCTGGACTCAAATGGACCTTTGGTTTTTCTTTACCTTTCCTGCTCCAGCTGCCTTACCAGATGTGCCCATGCCTCCAATTGAACACAATGAGTTGGGAGTTTGTAAGCAAAACGTTTATTGTGCAGAAAAAGTAACACAAGGAAATCTCTTTCAAAGCCTTT